ACACACACACACACACCTACCTCTTTTCACAGACCATTTGTTAAAAAAAAAAACACTTTTTCTTTTCATGAGTTTCAGTCTTTTTGTGAAGCGTGCCACACGTTCCAGTTTGCCCTCAGAAATACAATGAAGGCTTTCGCCGATGTCTCCTTGTTAGAAAGTGCAATCTGCATCATCAATCACACTCTCAAACAATGAAACTCAGTTGCACGGATTAACAAACTCAAACTTGGAGCAGCGAAACAGACTCCACCATTCATTTCAGAATACGATGAGTTCTGCACCGCAGGTCGCAATGTAATGGGCTTTTGGCAGATCATCAATCCACTTTACTGCCACCAACAAAAAGCATGACTCACCAGTATAATAATTAAATTTAAGTATTAGCTATAAGACTTTTAGTTGCAAGATTTTACTGAGGCAGGTGATCAGGAATAATCAGAGAACTATGTGGCACAAGAGGTCATTGTCATAAAAATTGAATGTTTTATGAGGATCACGACAGTAAATGTGAAGAAATTGCATTCTTTATGTCAAAGCTTGCTAGCAGCAGGGAGGTATTTTTTTATAATTGGCTAAATTAGTCAAAAATTACTTAGTTGAAAGGTTACTTTTTAATTTAATTGGTCTTTTTATGCCTTTTAACAAAAACAATAATAGAGAAAGACTGTAAAAAGTGGGAAATATGTAATAAAATTAGCAGACTGACATGGTATCTAGACCTCAGAAAACACCACAGATTAAAAAAAAAAAAAAAAAAGAATCGAATATTTTGGCTAATTTAATAATGTCTGTTGTTGAGAACATGCATTAAATTGTTTATTGATTTATTTATTTATTTATTTGAAGCTTTGGTTTGCCAACTTTTTCTTTTTGTTAATAATAATCAATTTAATAATGTCACAGAAATGCACAGATTTTCTCAAAAAAAAAAAAAAAAATGCTGAAATGCTAAAAATGTTCAAAAATGTGAAGATTTGTTTTCTTTTTTGAAAGAACATGCAATGATTTTCATTAAATTCAGAAGTGGCAGTAAACACATTCATAAACAATAAATACTATAGCAGCACAACTGTTTTCAACATTGATAATAGGAAATATTTTACTGTATTTTTGTATTTTTCAAATAAATGTAGCCCTGATGATCATTAGAGACTTCTTTCATAAACCAAAAAAAATCTTACCAACCCCAAACTGTATATCTGCAGATTACGTTTGGCCTGCGTCATGAAACTTGCATCCTACAGGAGTGGCTCGACTCTGACGTGTCAACATCATTGTACTGTACTGCAGGTTACTTAAGTTCTGTCAGGTTTAACAAGTGATCTGTAACAGACGGAAAAGAAGTCAAAAGTCAAGCTAGCATTACAACATCTGTCAAAAATCTGTCCATCTCTGGTGTTAAAGGTGAAGACATAATCACATTTGCTGAATCCAAGAAATGTGGGATTGCCCAGCTTGAATTGACACAGACGAAGAGACTGTGTGTGTGTGAGTGTGTATGTATATAAATGAGTGTTAGATATGCCTGGACTTTACCGTTG